CTGGTCTACTTGCAAAAAAGTGCAGTGTGAAAGCAAACCGCACCAAACAAAAACAAAAAAATCAACTTTGTATTTGGTCCGGACCAAAGCAAGTGAACTAGCGGACTTTCCTGGTGTGAATACACCTAAGCTCAAGTATTTAATATTTCTTAATACCTTTTTTTGCAGCTGAACAGACCGCACTCTGGCTTTGAAGAGGCTCCTGACAGATAACTCTTGACTAGCATAGTATGACCCAGTACTCACCACAGACTAGTCGCTCTAACTTCTTAACTGTTGTGAAAGCAGAAGCCTCTTCAACACCACCCATCTCCACCAACATGGCCAACAGCACAGTCGTCCCCGGGAAAGTTCCAGGCACCCCTGGACCTGCAGGGAGACTGAGCCCTGAAGGCACTCAGGTGAGACCCCAAGCAGTTCAAATGTTTTAGACTTTGCCTCTATTTGTATTCCACATAACATTTATGATCTAATATCCTCCAAACAGGTACTTAGTAAGAAGAAACTGCAGGATCTTGTGAGAGAAATTGACCCTAATGAGCAACTCGATGAAGATGTGGAGGAGGTAGGTATTACTCTTGTTGTTAGTGATGCACACAAGTATGTATTTTCATAAATGACAAGTCTGTGGGTTGCCTAAACATCTACTCAGTCTTAATGAAGGAATTTATAGTAATAGTTGTATTTTAAAATAAGAAACACCCCCTTACATCCACATTAAAATGTGAATAATATGTGAAAAAATGCGTAAATTAGTCAGTTGATATTGTTCCCTAGTTATCAATTTTTGTCAGCTCAGTGCTTATAACATTATTTTATATTATTATTATTATAATTTTATTCAGCAAGGATGCATTCATTTGGTCAAAAGTAACAGCAAAGACATTTGACAAGACTGTGGGTTGCCTAAATGACTTCTCAATCTTTAGGAAGCAAATTATAATTATAATAAAAAACAGTATTTCAAAATAAGAAGCATCCCTTTACATCCACTGCTAAAATAAAAGTGTGAAAAAAAAAAAAAAAATTCTAATAAACTAGTCAGTAGATTATTTATATGGTTCCCTAGTTATCCATTTTGAATATTAAAATTCAAACATTATTACATATATTTATAATTTTTATACTTTTATTCAGCAAGGATGCATTAGGCTAAAAGTAACAGTAAGGACTAGGGGTGCTCCGATCAGGATTTTTGAGGCCGATTACCGATCGCCGCTCACAGAAAGCAGTATCTGCCGATACCGATCTTTTTAAAGCCTTCTTTTTATCATTTATAACTA